CTGAGGGTAGAAAGAGTCCGGACTGAGGGTAGAAGAGTCCTGAATGAGGGTAGAAGAGTCCGGACTGAGGGTAGAAAGAGTCTAGAGTGAGGGTAAACAGAGTCTTTGGGTGTTTTTGAGGGTTTCTGGTCTTCTGGACACAGCTGCAGGATCCAGGATCTACAAGGAGCCCGTAATCCTGTCCGGCCCTCAGAACCTCACCATCAATGTCCACCAGACCGCCATCCTGGAGTGTGTTGCCACAGGAAACCCCCGGCCCATCGTGTCCTGGAGTCGCCTCGGTAACGCCTCCTCCTGCACTCATTGATCCAATCATTAGTATTGATTACCTGTTAAGATCAGCTGTGTTAATGATGGTGTCTGTGTGCGGTCAGACGGCCGGTCCATTGGCGTGGAGGGGATCCAGGTTCTGGGAACAGGAAACCTGATGATCTCTGATGCCACTCTGCAGCACTCAGGCGTTTACGTTTGTTCGGCTAACAGACCGGGCAGCAGGTCCAGGAGGACGGCGCTTGGACGCCTCGTTGTACAAGGTAGGTACGCTTGCACACAGCAACAACACATCAGCTGGCCAAATGTGACCGAGCTGTCCTCACCTTAAACATTCAAACTTTTCACCTTAGAAGTCCTGCAGGTCAGATCTTTGATCTTCAGACTGAGGGACATTTCTGGATGTACGCCGTTTGTTCTGTTTGAATAAACCTTTATTTCTATTCACACTAAGTTTCAGACAAATCCATTCGGAATGGTTGTGATTATCAGAGAAAGTCGGTCAGGCACAGCGATGAAGGAACTGCTGCTGGTTGAAAATGAGTCATTCTCTGTCCTCCTTTCAAAGCGAGTTCTGGTTCTGGTTCTCCTGAAGGAGCAGCTTTTGGTACTGAAGTGACTCAGATGGCGGGCAGCGAGTCTGATTTGCTGGCCCCTCATCAATGATTGGTGTGCAGACTGAAACAAACCTGCTGCTCCTTCATGACTGACACTTCTCCTTGAAAGTTGGGCGCGTAGGATGTAGAGCCAATCATCCACTAATAGGAAGATCAGTGACTCAGTCCCAAATATTCCTGGGAAAGATGCCCTCAGATGCATCCACCAGAGTGAGGACGTCAGACAGGAAGTACAGGTGCAGAAAAAAGTGCTGGTGTTATGTGTGAATGAGGCAGTGCTTCGAGCACTCAGGTGGAACAGGAAAGAACGCGATTACTGACCAATAAGATCCTCAGAACAAGCCTGAGGCAGACTTCCTGCGAACACAGCGGCGAGCAGCTGCAGAGCAACCGCTCCATCTGTTCAGCTTCACCTCATCATGTCGAGTGTGCAAACACACATGCAGTGTGCGTGTGTGTTCATCTGTCAGCTCTTGAACTTGACTGGTTGTGTGTCGAGTTCAGTTCAGCCTGCTGCTGTCGGACTCTTCACCCCCAACATGTGACTTCTGACCCTCTCTGTAAATCAGAGAGGTGACAGCAGCACCTCAGAGTTCACTTCCTGTTCACATGAGCGCGTCAGACGCATTTGTTTCTGAAACCGTGAGGTGTTGATGATCTTATATGTGAGTTTGTGGGAGAAAAACGCACTGGCTGCAGCTTTTCCTGCAGTTTCTGGGTGCGTGCAGCCACGTGTCATCTACGCAGCAGGCACAGTGTTTTCCCACACACGGTGGAAAGACCAGCGCACAGCCCCGAGGACTCCATGTGGTTCCGATCAGAGTTTCCTCTGCAGCTCCATGCAGACGTGTGAGACGTTCAGGGACTCCTGTCCTGCTCGCTCAGCTGCAGCTCAGTCAGAGGTCATGTAGGAGGAGGGGTCAGAGGTCACACAGGCCCATTGTGAACGTGTGTGTGACTGAGAGCTTCATGAGAATCTGGATTAGCATGAGAAGAGCCCCACTTCACAATGAGGACTTTATTCCCACTGAAACTCCGTCTGTTACTCTGACACTCAGACTTGCAGACTGTCCTCACCACAAACACGAGTGCACAAACGGGCAGGGCCACAACAGACGGCCTCGGTCTAAACCCGACCGCGGCTCCTGCTCTGTGTGATGATCCAGCTTTTCTTGTCCTGCATGAAAGGGTTCATCCCTCATGCACCCATCTGAAGTCAGTTTGACTTAACGCACAAGTAAAACCACCCAAAGTGCTTTCCACTCACACAGTATGTGACGAACATGTTGTTACACAACAGCATCCAGAGGAGATGGCTCACACATCATCAGCGGCAGCGCCCACAGAGACCTAAACAGTAGGAAGAAGAAGCCACCGTAACAACCTTCTTTTCACCGACACGTCCGCATTAACATCAAATCATTTCTTCTATTATTATTATTATCATTATTGTTGTGTTTAATTCAGCTTATTTCTATTGTTAGTTTCAGGGTGCGTCGTTTTCTTGTCTGTAGCTGGTGTGAGTTATCATTTTATCACATCTGAGTTGTTTTTACAAAGACGACTTCATCGTTTTACACGTGTGCCACTGTGAAACTAACTGCAAACAAAAAGCACGCGTGACAAACATGTCAATCAGAGACACGAAAATAAAAGCGAGGAGACGCAAAATGAACAAAAATATTCTCAGCAGTTTAATCAGAAGAGTTTTTAAAGATAAAGTCTTTTATTGTTGCCGTGCATCGTTCAGGCTGGCGTACAGCCCACACAACAACAACACAGAAACAGAACAGAAAATAGGAAAGTACAAATACACAAAATACAGTCCTGCTAAAAATGATAAAAAGTGTGTGTGTGTGTGTGTGTGTGTGTGTGTGTGTGTGTGTGTGTGTCAGATATGGGGGTGGACACATAAATACATTTTATTTGTGGAGGGATAATGACCGTTGACCTCCTAAGATACAGAACCCCAAGTTCAAGAGCAACACACACACACTTTTATAAATGACTCCTATTCATCCCTCTCCCCTCCCCTGTGACCTCTGACCCCTGACCTCCCCCTCTTTCCATTCAGAGTGGGAGGAGGCGGGGCTCTTGTGGGGTGACAGAGATGTGTGTGTACGGTTTCCCTGTAGCCATGGAGATGAAGTGGGTGGAGACAGACAGCTGTGTCTGTGTGTGTGTATGTGTGTGTGGTGGTGGGGTCAAAGGTCAAAGTGCTGTTCAAAGATAACAGAGACACAAGCTCAAGTTTTCATTCTGAGGACACGGCGTGTGATGATAACATGATGCGTTTTTAGTGATTAGCTTTATGTAGCGAGTTATTCATCCACCAGGTGGCTCCAAAGACTCAGCATCACCTTTGAAGACATGTATAAACCTCTGTTACAGTTACATTAAATACAAATTAAATACGTGTTAGCGTTTTGACCTTGGGCTCGTGGCTTTTCTCCCCGTTACGGCGCTGCTACGATGTTTGATAGCGTTCCTCACTTGTGGTATTTCTGAGGTTCTTTAGATAAAATGAGCACGTCTGTGTCACAATACGGCTGTGTGCAGGCAAGAGTAGGACCCAAACGCAAACTCGCAGAGACGAAAACTAAACTCAAAAAGCACAGCTTTATCTCTGGCGTGGAGTGGGACACGAAAAACAACACAAAACGAAACTAGGAAAACTAAAGCACAAGGAGCAACGGGGAAAAATCACACAGCTATGAGGGAGGACGCAACCCTGACAAAGAGAAACATGGGGCTTAAATACACTGAGGGATAACGAGGGGGAATGAGCCACAGGAGGAGAGCACAGCTGGGAGTAATTAGGCAGGACGAGACAAGGGAAGCAAAACTAGAAACATTAACATAGGACAGACTGTGAAAGTAAAACAGGAAACACACTGACGGGACTCAAGACATGTGGACTTAACAGACTGAGGAGACAGAACATTGGGACCTGAAACATGGAACAGAAAGGCACAGTAGATCAACATGAACATAACAACGCCACAGGGGAAGAGTAAAACAAAATGCAGGGACACAGGACCTCTTTCAAAATAAAATGGGAAACATAATGAAACGCAAACATGACAACATAAGAAACACAGACGTGAAGCACATGAAGGACAAGGGAGACTTAACAGGGGTTGGAAACACAAGGGGAATCTAATAAACAAATGAACTTAGATAACCTAATGAACAAAATAAACTCAAACTTAAAACGCTGGGTCAAAAGACCCAGGATCATGACAGTCTGTCTGATCCTGACAGTTTTCCTGGTCGTCTCCACTCGTGATGGTGCTGCGGCACATCCCCCCACAGGCCTCACAGAGAATAAGTTTTCAGAGGGTAAACCACCAGCTCAGGTTTGCCCTGTGTTGAAATTGTAACGCTCTGTCTTCTGGACCGCAGCTCCTCCAGAGTTTGTTCAGTGGCCACAGTCTGTCTCCAGACCAGCAGGGGCCAGCGCCGTCTTCAGCTGCACAGCGTCTGGCGTCCCCGACCCCCACCTCATCTGGCTGAAGAATGGCAAACTGCTGATACCCAGCGGCAACGTCAAGCTCACCAACGGGAACACGTGAGATCCTTCTGTTTACGCTCAGAAGGTCTTTCTCTCTGTGAGGTTACTGCACGGTTTAACGTCCCACCTCTTCTCTGCCACCACCTGCAGGACGCTCGCCATCACCCGCATCACCCCCGAGGATGAAGCCATCTACCAGTGCATTGCCGAAAACAGCGCTGGCACCAATCAGGCCAGCGCTCGCCTCGCCATCAGCCAGGGCTCAGAGCTGCCCGAGGCCCCCAGCGGCCTCCAGGCGGCAGCGCTGAGCTCCAGCAGCCTGCAGCTGACCTGGGACCAGCCGGCAGAACATGTGAGCCAGCAGATCATCGGATATGTCCTGCACATCAGGAAACTGGGCGGTGAGAGAAGGGTGGGGTTGGTATTTTTAAGTCTGAGATCGTTGGTGTGAGGAGACTAGAAATGAGATTTAAGGGTAATGACGTGATATGAACTTTCTCTGTGGGGGCATAATTACTGGTTCCTGATTGCCTGGAGACTGATTGGTGCGTGTAACCGATAATCCCAATCAATCAGTCTGCAGCACCATCACCGACTGTGGTTGCTTTCACCTGTTTGACCTTTGATCTGTGACCTCCTCAGAGCCGGACAGTGCTGAGCTGCAGGAGGCCGTCAGTAAAACCACCTTCAAACACGAATTCAGCAACCTGGAAGCTGCCACCACCTACTCCATCTACCTGAAGGCGTACTCGGCGCTGGGAGGCAGCCAGCAGTCTGACAGCATCATGGCCAGCACGCTGGGCGGTGGTAGGTCACCTCTGACTGATAACACTGAAAACACTCACGCTATATCTAATATCTATAAAACCTCGCCATCTGAAGATGGCGCCACAGCATTCCAGCCTCGGAAAAGGACCTCCACCTAAAAGTAATCTCCTGGGTCTGAGTTCACGAGGTGTTTCAGATCTACTCACAATGACGTGAAAACATTAGCTGAAGCCTGTTATGAAGGTCTGCAGCTTGGTCCTGAATGGAGCTGATGAAGCTGTAGATTTGTAGGATGGTAAAAGTTTCTGGTAAAGATGCATCGGTGTAAGGGCAGCGCTTCCTACCACACACAAAGAGAAGGATTGGCTTCATATTAGTGAACAGTAATCTGATCAGACGTTTGATAGAAGGATGGTGCAGCTCCACACATCTGCCAGCAGAGGGCACACCCACCCAGCCTGAGGCTTTAAGCACCATCTTTATGTTTCAGAGGATGAATGCAGAAACACTGTTTGATGTGTTGATGTCATGAACAGAGTTTGACCTCAGAGGTGCGGGCCTGGGGTGGGGTAGACCTGCTCTGATCACAATAAAACCATGTTTAAACGTTTTGGAGATGCTGTCTCTGTGAATGACCGCAGGCACTGTCTGCCCCACAGTTCCCAGTCCTCCCAGTTTCTTCACTAAGGTCCTGAACCAGACCGCCATGCAGGTGTACTGGGAGCTTCCGAGCAAGCCGGGGAAGCTGGAGGGCTTTAGACTGGAGTACCGCAGTGTTTCCAACCCAGAAGTGCAGGGGCAGGAAACCTTCCCAGCACACATCAACACCCACACCATCTCCCACCTGGGTGAGTATGAGGCTGGTGTGTACAGGCAGCCCGACAGGAAGTGGATACAGCGTTGTGATAATCTGTTTGTTTACTTCCTGCAGAGCCGGTGGCCATTTACGAAATCCAGCTGGTGGCGTTTAACGGGAACGGAGACAGTCCGTCCAACCGCCGCCTTGTATCTCTGGCAGAGGGAGAGAGAGCTGCAGCAGGTAGGAGCCTGACCTCTGACCTCTTGCACACCGTCACCAATGGAAGCAGTGTAACATGTGATGTTTGTCGCCCTCAGCTGGTTCAAGCTGTAACTGCGATCAGGCTGACAGCTCGACGTCCGCTCTGCTGGTCGGCCTTCACAGTGGCCTAGCCTGCATCCTCTGCTGCCTGCTGCTCGTCCTGCTGGCATACAGACGCAAGTAAGGCCTTCACCATCATCGTCCTCACCGTCCTCACAACCACCACCGCCATCATCGTCTTCATCATTCTCACTGTATTCTGTGCTCAGTTTTTTCTGCAGGAAGGGGGAGAGCTGGGAGACTCCACCCACTCTGAATGGCGTCAGTGGTCCTAAAGGCCACACACCTGAGAGCTTCGAGCTCAGCCAGGTAAACACACACACACACGCCTGGATGATTATTAAGGGATGGTCCTGATCCAGAGTTCGGGGTCAAATACCTGCCTGAGGAAACACCTTCCTGTCAATGACCCCCTTCTCCCTTGTTCCGCCTACAGAGATGCGATTCCACCCTTCCTCCATTGATGGTCATGGTTGAACCTGCTCTACCTGTTCACCTGGGCACAGGCACCGGATAAAACACCACACATTTCCCCCCCACCCCCCACCCACCCCCGGACGCCGGCCTGTGGCACCTCCTCTCCTCCTGACAGCCTTACCACATTTAGGATAAGAGATTAACGCATAGATTATAATGATGATGATGATTTGTCTGAGGAAGCTCCAGGTGGCGTCTGATCCCACAGGGAGACTGAACCCGTTGAACTTGACTGCTGTGACACCAATCCCAAATGAGGTTGTCTCCAGATCAAAACCAAAGCGCAATTCTTCACCTGTAAACACACAAATTGTTGGTCACATGACTCTGGCTCCTCCCCCTGTGCGTGGAGATGCTGATGCTTACTTCCTGTTGAAACCAAAAGCTTTTTTCTTTAGTTTGGGCTCATTTTGTTTTAGTCACCGACGGTGCCGAGTTTCCAGAGACGATGAGGCCTTTTGCCGGCTTGACCAGAGACGGGCCTCTGAGATGCACCTGAGAAGGTGTTCTACCTGCCGTTTGCCGGTCCTCAGAGGCCCAGAGCCAAAGGGAATTATTGTTTCTCTGGTCAGCAGGTAACCTTAGAGGACGCTAACGCTCCTCTGCTCCGCTTTAGCCTTTCAGTGTTTGTCTGTCTCGTCGCGTTCGCCTCCGGTCAGGATGTGGACGAGGCCCACGGTCGGCTTGCCTCTCCTCCCCTCCCCTCTCCAACTCCTCCACCAAACTGTTTCCCCCCAAAGAGAGCTACCTCGGGCTTCATGCCAAACCTCTTGCTGTTAGCCTCCCGCTGCAGGCCAAGCTAACCTACCTCAAACCAAAAGCCTCCTCTGGGACCTTTTCCCTGTTTTAACCTTTTTGCCCACGAGACCTTGGCTTCGTTGCTCTGGATCCATCCCTCGCTGTCTGTAGACATCTTTGCTTCTGCTGATGAGGGACGGAAGAGCAGCTCTGTACCTGAGAAGATCTGACTGCTTCACCTGGGAAAGGTGAGACAGGAAAGTGTGGGACCTCTCTGGCCTTGTCTGTCCCGATTTCAATGAATTTTTTTATGTTTTCAAGGGCTTCCACTTCCCGTTACCTGCCCACAGGTGTGTACAGCCCCATGAGCCATGTCTAAACTGACCTCTGATGTATTTTAATGCATCAAATGAATATAGATGAAGAGCAGCTTTCTGTAGAGTTCAGCCAAATATTATTTAAAATGAGCTGAATGCCTTCCAAAGAAAAGAAAAACTAGTTTACCTGCATTTCCTGTTTGTTTTCACTCCAGCTCCTGTCTGAGTCGAAGAACAAACAAAACCAAAATAATTCCTCGCCATCACATTTTATGTCTCACACAAAGACTTTGGAAAAAGGAGTGAAAGTATATTTTCTTATGTCGTGGTAGGATGAGCTGTCAGGAAAACCAAATAAATGAAGGATAAAGCCGCGCTGACCAAAAGCTCAGAAATATCCAGATATTATGTTTGTATTTACGCCACAGAGCATGCTCACTCTGTGCGGATTAATGTCTCTACGAGTGACCTCCGACCCCCTGACCTCCTGATCCTGAGGACTTTACTGTAGCCCTCTGTGACCGGGACCAGGTCCCGTGTCTGATCCGTGCAAACATTTTCCAACAGAGAAAAATCGTCCATGTTTTAGAAACGTGTCCTTCTTCCAAACATACATTCTTCAAATTTAACTCATAAATGATATTTTCTCTCTGCAGGGAACATTGAACTCTTTTTGGTTTTTGATGTTTTGGCATTGGTGCTATCTAAAACAAGTTAAAAGAGTAGAAAAACAGAATGAAAAGATTGGATTTGCTGATGAAAATGATCCGGTATCACCTCGAGTACATGAACGCTGTGCTTGGCCATCAGCCCCGAGGACTCATCTCCTCACCTGAACGTTTCTTTAATGTTCTCCTTGTGAGCTGAGGGTTGTTGTCTCTGCTGCACGATTCAATCCACAGGCAGATGTCCTGCTTCTCAGTCCAAATCCATCATTCCATCAGTGATGGTGAGCTGTTCTGGTCTGTATGCACTGAAGCAGTCCCAAACCATGACGCCACCATAGATGCTTTTGGACTGCGGGAACATTTTCGTAGCTGTGGTCACTCCACACTGCAGGAAGTACAAACTGCCAAAGTTCTTGGAACCTGTCTAGCTGCTAATTCAGGACTTTTACTCTCTGAGTGACAAAGTGCATGCTGATTGGTGCACCACCATCACTCGCCATTTAAAACCGTGTAATCAACAGTTAGCTCTACAAATGGCAGAAACCATGGAGAACAGGAACTCTGTTCTTCTCTGGCCTCACCTCCACCCTCATTAATTGCAGCGTCACTATAACAGTTTATGTGAAAGTGCTTTGTGGTCCTTGGCTGAGACAGTTGTGGTTCTCAATGCTTTCTTTCTACTCACGCTGCTCTCCTCCGTCCTCTAAAGAACCTTCATCACCTGCGTTACAGGCAGTGGTGATCATTTTCTTAAGTCCTCGCTCTTCTCATCTGTTCAGGACTCACTTCCTAAAACATGCGGAGATCTATACCTGAAAACACCTGTTTCAAATATCGTTTTCACCCATAAATAAAGGGTCATATTTGAATGCTATTGAACTGCTTTCTGTTTAAAACCTTTTAGGATGTTTTAAGTCGCACTGATGCAGAAAAGAATCTCAACCTTTTTCCTGGAGCCAGCGCTCCTCCTTAAAGCCCAGACTTAACAGACCAGAGTGTAAACTGTGCCAAAGTGTAGGTCAGGGTGGGGAACTCCAAGGGCCAGTGTCCTCCAGGTTTTGGATCTCACAGTCAACACACCTCAACTACATGATGAGTTCATTACCAGGCCTATGGAGAACGTCACGACATGTTGAGGAGGTCATTTAGGCATTTAAATCAGCTGTGTTGGATCAAGGACACGTCTAAAACCTCCAGGGCCCTCGGGGCCTGGAGTTCGACATCCCTAGCGTAGGTGAAAACTGTCGTGAGCCATCTTTGTGTGAGAGTGTCTTTGATTTTGGACCTTTGACCTCCTCCCCCAGTTCAACAAAACACCCTCCTTGCTGTCTTCAGGGTCAAAGGTCAGAGGTTGCAGAGCTCCCCGCTGTCTTCATCTCTGCTCCGAAATGAGACGATTGTTTCTAAAAGTAAAGTTTTCAGGTGTTTTGTTGAGTTTGTTCTTTTTCTAGAACTTTCCGCTTTCCGTTTGTTCTTATCTTTCCGTCGCTGCCGTTTGGCAGCAAAGAGGAAAGCTGCCAAAATAAAGACATTAAAATTTGTATTTTTATTCTAATAATATTATGATTCTTCCAGTTTGACTTTTTTCTGATTCTTTATGTTTGTAGCTGATATGAAGATATTTGTAGAGTTGTAAAAGCTGTTCCAAGCTGAAGGTAGAGCCTCTGATTAAACAGCCATATTTACCCATAAGCCATATGTGATGTCAAAGCCATGCTGTGCATAAAAACCTGTTTTATTGTTTGTCCGAGCTGAGTCCACCTCCTGCTGTCGACACACTGTAGAAACTAAACCTGAGATGTAGCGATCGTAGTGACTGAAGCCTAGAACCAATGAGAGAAATGATGCTTTAATGATTCTGTTTTTTCTATAAAGATGTTTGAATAATGTGTCACAAAAATAAAAGCACCCAAAGCTTTAAACTGCTTTTTAAACCGAGCTCTGAGCTCTCGTATTCAGAGCCTCCTGTTTGTGCTGCAGATTCTCTCCACAGACTGTTTCTCTGTCCTAATTTCTGCTGTTCAGACACATAAAAACCAAATAAAGCTGAAGTAGAAAACATGTCTTTGTTGATCATTTATTTAGCGGACAAGCTGCTCGTGCAGCGACACCTGAGGTTTGACAAGGTGAGTTTAATGTACAGTCATGTGAACTGCCGATAAAGACACGTTAAACAGATTTGTGACTGCATCAGCACTAAAACTGTGCAGCAAGAGATTGATGGCCGAGCAGCTGGTGCAGGTGTGAGGTGAAGTACTTTTGTACCTCACCTTAACACCCGGATATCACCTGGGTATCATCTGCATAGCTGTAAAAATGGATGCAGTGTTTTCAAATAGTATTAAATAAGGGAAGCGTACATTAAGATCACTGGTCCCAGCACAGAACCCCGAGGAACTCCACGGCCAGTTTTGGGTGTTAGGGATTACAAAGTAACAAGTTACTGTAATCACATTACATTTCAGTAATGCAGTAATGTAATCGCATTACAGTTGCAATTATGTCATTACTTTCATTGAACAAGTTCTTGAGATAGTGCCAGCTGGACAGAAAGAAAACATTCTTGTATGGTACAGTCAGCTGATTCAGTTCATGTGCAGGAGGAGGACAATGGTGGAGCAGCACAGCGATAGCGTTCGAGGAGTGGAGATGTGGGCATTGCTTTTATTTTACTACACAAAAGGACAGGAAGACGGTAGAGTGGAAAGTGCAGCCAGGACACAAACAACCAGACTTTTCTACTAACACAACTTTGACTTGTAACAGTCGTAATAGTGCGGTGTCTCCTTGAGACAGCGTAAGTTGATGTTTAGTGATGTCACAAGTATTCACCACTGCCCTCTGTAGAGCGGCGTGCTCACACATGGACCTCATATCGTTACCTCACTAACTCAAAGTATGTTGTATGAACTGTATGTTGGTTGTATGAACTCTGCTCACTTCATGTATGATGAGACCGCAGCCGTTCAGCCAGTCTTATAAGGTTGGCGTTTATTAAAGGACAAACACTGTGGAATTCCCACTGCCACTATGGTTGCAAGCTTTTGATTGTCCTGCTGAGTGTGTCAGCTGCCTCCTGTCGACCACTGAATACAGCCCACGTTACAGACACTTTGCTAACATGTGAACGGGTGGCATGCTAACGCTAAGCTAGCCAAGAACCCAGAGTGTTGTTAAAGCAGACGTTAGCCCAGCATCCAGAGCCTGAACTTATGAGCTCATCTTTAATTTGAGTTAATAAGTGATAAACTAAAAACCAAAGTCCATATGTGTGCGGTCATTAGGAGGGCTTTGCGTTGGTGTGTGGGACTGTAGCCTGTAGGTAACTGGTAACAATGGGTTTGAGGTCATTTTGTAGAGAAATCAGAAAGTAATGTAACCAGTAGTCTGACAACATACTTCTCCGGCGAGGAATTAAATAAGTTACTACATTACTTTTAAGAAAAGTAAAAGCTAATGTGTGATCCATTACTTTTCTTGAGTAACTACCCCAACACTGCCAAGGATGATAACATTGCTAAAAACCTGAAACACAAACAAACATGCATGAGTCACATCATGGGTATGGTCACATTTGAACCTCCAAAGCTGCAGTTCCTCTAACATCCAGCAGATGTACCAGTGAGTCAGTCCCCAGAGACTTCCATGCCCCCACAGGTCACCTGTTTGAACTGGATTAAGGCTTAAAGCTTGCATCATTAGGGGCGTGACCTCCTTGACTAACAAGTGGATGGTGAAACAGGCAGCTGTAGCTGCTCGCTGTCCGCTTGGCTGAACTGGATCTCTGGACCACGTTTGTGCTGTCAGACATCATCTAACCAATAACATGACTGCTGTGAGGTCACCATACTAACAGATTGAGAAGGCTGAGCTCTGAATGAGTGAGATTTGATGTTGTTGTATGCCACGCCTATACAGCCTCTGGATGCAGACACATCCTGTTGTCTTAGAGCTCCACCCTGTGGTTCACAGAGGGAGCACGTCCATTTTGGAGGTGTCCCTGACGAGGTCATCCAGACACTAGAAGCTGCTCTGTGGATTCAGATGAGATTAATGATTGATTGAGATTAATGAGAAAAAAAGATGCACTTTAATTTGTAATCAAGAGGCATCAGCATGCTGCTGCTGTTTGACTGCAGTCACTTCTCTTAAAGGCCTGACACAAGGGTCAGAGGTCAGCGCTTTCTCTCTGAGCATCATCTGTGGAGGGCGTGACAAACCATGTGATCTAAACTGATAAAGTCAACATGCAGACAAAATGACCGCGTTATTCTGATTCTGTGGCAACAACTCTGCTCAGGCGCCTGCAAATAAAAATCACCTGACACAAAGCATAAGTCACATGCTAAAGTCACGTGCTTTCATTGGCTGATCTGCTGCAGTCTGGTTGTTGGTGGAGGGCTGCGGCTCGTGCTCCCTGCTGTGAGGACCCTCTCTGGTGGACATTCGGTCTATGTATTGGGACGAAGGGTCCGCATCACTCCTCACCCAGCGGCAGCAGGCGGCGAGGTCGGCCCTAAAGGACGGCGTGTAGAAGCCGTAGATGATGGGGTCGCAGCAGGTGTTCAGGTTCCCAAACACAAAGAGGGCGTGGTGGACGTACTCCGGTGTGATGCGCAGCATGTCGGGCTGGAACCAGTACCAAATCCCCAGCAGGTAGTATGGCGTCCAGCACACGACAAAGGACAGCACGATGACCACCGTCATCTTCAGAGTCTTCATCCGAGCCTTTGGGATGATGTCGGTGCCACTGCGACGCAGGGGCGACTCACCTGCTGAAAGAGGGAGTGTCTACATTGCTGATCATACAACAAATCAGCTGTGATGGCTGAGAACAGGTGTGGTTCAGATGCGTTACAGGTGTTGTTCACAGATGTGTTACCTTTGTCTCTCAGGTGCTGCTGGTGGATGTGCAGCAGGATGCGGCTGTAGCAGCAGCTCATCACCAGCAGGGGGACGACATACAGCGTGGTAAAGTGAAACATGTTGTAAACAGTTTCCTGCCAGCGGCGACTGAAGCTACCGTGAGACGCACACTGAGTGAAGTCCACCGAGTCCACCCTGATGGTCCTGAAGATAAATAGCTAATGGACGGACAGAGTCACACTTTGGAGGCCTCACATTAGTATATCTAACAATAAACAACAGCTCATTAGATAAAAATCCAGATGTGACGTCCTGGTCTGAGTTTCAGTTTTGCTCTGAAGCTGCTCTTACTTTGAACTAGCAACTGACGTCTCAGGATCGGTAGCATGCCTTATAGAAACAAAGGGGAGCAGTTAGCCTGAGCTATCAGCAGGAGGTTGTGCATGGATAATCCAGAGCATTCCTGCCAGGATTAACACGCAGTCAGAATTTACTGCAGGAACTTTCACCTGGATCAGCTGCATGTGAGAGCAGCCGGCACCTGCTGACAGGTGGAGAAGCTGCTGACTGCTCAGACAGGAGGATCTCTAACAAGAAAACGTGATCATTTAACCTGCTTTAATAAAAATCAAGTTTCTTGTCGCCTCATACATGTGGGTGCAGAGCGAGCAGCAGGTGCACAGGTAGCAGCAACACACAACTTAATGTTATGTTACATGACAGACTGCTGCATTCACTTTTCAGCTGTGGAAAAAACTCATGTCTTTCATAACAAAGCGAGTCATCTCCAGGTGTTTTATTTTTCGCGTATACATCAGAGAAAAACTCCAACCGTGAGTTACCGTTACCTCTGCTCTAAGTTACCTCTGATCAAAGTTACCTCTGATCAAAGTTACCTCTGATCAAAGTTAC